AGTTTAGTTGCTTGGAAAGTGTCAGTATTTCAATAGCTCTGCTAGGGACACCGCTATGTAGTGAATGCTGAGAAGACAGCTGTTGTTTCAGACATGACATGTGGCAAGTTAGTATAATTCCATGTGAAGACCACAGAGCAGGAGAAATGTGTCTCCCGGCCAGGGAGGGATAAGTTATGCATTGCTATTTAAAAAAATATAATTGGAAATTTAAATCTATTTTATGAATGGAAGTACTTTGGCCTTTTGAGGAAGGCATGAGTCATTTTCATCCCACTGTGCCCCCTTTTTAATGAACATTTCCCACCTTAGCATATGTAAGTAGTAATTAATCACAGGAAGTTATTTTACAGGCATCACAGCTTATTAAATCTTCTGACTAGACTCCCAAGAAACCCACTTAACATTTGTAGACCAGGTGTCCTACTGTAAGTGTGCTGACTACCTGTGATGTTAATATGTGAGAGAATGTCTGCTCTAGTAATTAGAGCATAGTGGATTACCTGTGTAGCTGTAGATCCATTGGTCATGCTACTAGACCTCCTCTAAACTACCCTGCTCCATGCTGCCACCATGGTGTCTTCATGTCTATTCACTGCATGTAGGGGGACATTCACTCCCTGCAAAGAGAGCCAGCACAAGGCCTATACACTACTTAAATCCCACTTATGTCCAGGTGTGTATTCACCCCAATTGCAGTGGAACTGACATGGATGGATCTTACACACAACCTGCATAAGTAATCTGTGGCCAGTCTCTATGGCACCACAGAGCAGATGTTTTAGGGTTGATTCAAGGAAGGGTTAGTAGCATGGCCAATGCATTCACAGCTATGCAGATCCACTCTAACTTCTAGACCACATACCCTATCATGACTACAGAAGGCCTAAGTAGGTCTTTAGTGGTGCATAGGTGATAAATAGACCTTCTATTAAGGGTGAAATTTCCATGTCCATGGAAGTGGGGCAGTAATTTAGCCCTGAGAATTTTTGCAGGCATATTTTGTGGAAGTTCCTGTAAACTTTATGGTTTGTCTACTGAACAACAATGGTTCTCTTAGTACCATCCTTTATTAATTTTTTTCTCTCCCACCCCCACCACAATTCTGTGCGGAAACATCTCTTGGCAAGACTTGTTAAAAAGGGGGAGGGCTAACTCACTAAATAGCCTTGAGTGGGTGGGACAGTTAAAGAATAAAGCAAAGCCAAACACAGTTTAGCCACGTCTGGCTCCCTCCCCATCTAATCAAAATTTAATCTCCGACCATTTGGCAAAAATATTTAATTATGTCTGTACAGGTGTGTCTACACTGCAATTATACCTGTGGTTGGCCCATGGCAGCTGACTCGAGCTTGCAGAGCTCCGGCTAAGGGGCTGTTTAGCTGCAGTGTAGATATTTGACTCAGGCTGGAGCTCAGGCTCAAGGACACTGCAAAATGGGAGGGTCCCAGAGTTCAGGCTGCAGCCCAAGGCCAAATGTCTGCACCACAGTTAAACAGCTCTTTAACCAGGGGTGACAAATTCTTCCTAAAAGTGGGGGGGGCGAGGACCCCCCTTCCATGACCATGCCCCTACCCCTTCTCTTCCCCCAAGGCCATGCCCCCCAGAGCAACTGGAAGCCAGAGCCAGGTTGGGGGGCCCAAGAGAAGCCCCCAGCCTGTGGCCCTGCCCCTGGGTCCCTCACCCAGGGCAGATGGAGGGTCCTCGGCTCCCTACAGCTGCCTGCACAGCTCTTACCAGTCTGGCCTGGGGTTGAGGCCCTGGGAGATGAACAGCTGCAGCTGGACCATGGAAAAAGCCACCCAGGCAACTCTGGAGATCCAGGGATCCTCCATCTGTCCTGTGGGATGGGGACATGGGTCGGGGACTGCTCTTGGGTGCCCCACCCCAGGCAGGTGGAGGGTCTGATGCAGCTCCCCGGGCTTCTTGGGCTGCTCCTACCCCTGTAGTGGTAGGAGTGGGAGGGCCATGGCCTCTTAGCCCCCTGTGTTCCAGTGCCCCCACCTTTAGCCCGAGCCCCACAAGCTTGAGTCAACTGGGTGTCTAATTGCAGCATAGATATACCCTATATGAACTACAGTCCTGGGCATCTCCATATTACGGTGAGGTAATGAAAACACATGAGCTATCTTGGTATAAAATCCAAGTGGAGCCAAGGCTCTGTAGTTTTTAACCATGGTCAACACTTTCCCATCACCTGGCAGGGACCTTGCCAAGCCACATCACGGTAAAAGCCTTTTCTTTGCTAGGCTTTCACACTGAGATCACTAATACATATTGATCTCCAGTAAAAACAAACAAAAAAAAACCCCACACCTTCCTATGGCCTTTTGTATTGTAAAACTTCTTAGGGTTTGCCATCTAACAGGGGCTAAACCTTCAGCTGCCTTTTCTTCACTAGGAGTGTAACATCAGTTAGCTAACATGGGTTCACTTAACACAGGTTAAAAATAACTTTATTCCTACTGAAGACAAGCCCAGACACTGCAGCTCCCATCACTGCTCAAATCAGTGGAGCAAAATTGTGGAGAAACCATGTCCCCAGTTTCAGGTAGGATCTTGGCCACAGCAACACTGAGCTGTGTAAGAAACTGCAAACAGGAAGCTGGGCAGAGGGGAGGAGGGAGTTGAGCAGAGGGAGATTGATAGTTTATTTCGGGTCAGGGGTTACTGGAATGGATTGAAGGACCAACAAGCCTTAATTGTTGAGACTACCTTTGGCAACATGTCTTCACTGTACTTACCTTGGGGTGAATGTACCTTAACAGATATCTCGGGGCTTGCCCTCTAGCTCAGGCAGTGGTGGGTACCTCACCATGTAGCACAGAAACAGTCATTTTGTTGCATGAATGTGGAGCATGTTAACTCAGGCTCAACCATGGCTTTCTTCTTAAACAGTGAAGACAACTCCTTTAGCAATCTCTTCACTGAGGGGAAAAAAGTTAACAAAACCAGCAAGATAACTAATCTGGGCTAGCTGTAACACTGTTAGGTCTCAGGGGAGACAGCAGAGAGTTTTACTATGATGTAGCTATGTGAGGTCAGCCACAGTGAGAGGGGGAGAGAATCCTACCTAGCTACATCATAGTAAAAGCTACCTGTGTTTGGTCTCCATTAGGATTTTACAGCCAGATCAATGACCTGTTTTAGTTATCTCGCTGTAAGAAAAAGCTCACTTTTTTTGGCAGGTCCGTTCAGACCAGGCTTTGAAAGCCCAGTCTGATTTCACTTATACCCGTGGAAATCTGAAGAGGGTCCCCTAAAGTTAGTTTCAACAGATTTAAACTGCTGGCCCATTTTTTCAGTTATGAGCTCAGAGCTGGCTGCTTCAGCGTTGTGCTTCAAGTCCCAGTAGTGACTTGTCTTTTCAGACTCTACACAAGTATATTCTGCGGTCCATTAAATAAGCTACCCAGCTGCTCTCCCTGGGACAGAGCCTTTGGCCGCGCCGTCCCTTGGGGCTTATGTTCTTTCTGTAGAAGACAATGAAAGAAAGCTAGAAAGAAAGCTTAAATAATTGTGGGTAATAAGAAGAAATCTCCTTTACTGACGCAGAACAAAGACCTTTTATCTGCGGGAGTCGAGTCGTCCTTACCTAGCTTGCTTTCAGAGAACTGAGAGGTGGGCGCAAGAATTTATGCTACACTGTTTCATTAGAGCAGTATGAGTGCTGACAGAGCTGTTGTCCTCCCTACTGCTTTGACCTTTGCAATGCCAGTTCACCTTAGACTCCTTGGATTCAAAAGGATGAAGTTAATTAAGCCCCACTTTATATCCAACTGAAGGAGAATCAACGGCATGCTCATGCCTTATATTTGTTCTGGGCATTTGCTATCGCTCTGTGTCCCTTCATCATATTCATGCCTCGTTGTGTTGGTACCAAGTGTATCAATGTTTTTGCTTCGTTGTGGTTGGTGATAGAAGAGAACCTGGAAACCACTTGTTTCACTCCATTGAGTTTTGCCTCCGTTATTACCAAATACATACCCTATTTCTCCACTTTATAGACCCGGATCCTGCACTGTTTAGGTCAGTGGCAGCATTGCCATTGACTTCCAGGAGATCAGGACTACACTATGGGTGAGTAGCTGGACTTCGAGTCCTCGTGTCTGAATGAAATAAACAAACTCAACCTGTTTAACAAAACAGCTGGATGCTTTCTACATAATCTTCCCCACCGCGATCATCCCCTGACACATTCTGTTCTACTTAAGCGTCCCAAAAATCAGACAAGAGGAAAAAGCTCCAACTCGGATTGATTTTTCTTTACAAACAATCAGGTGGGTGGAAAAGTGAGGAATGTAGCATTTTGCGCCCTACTGCTTCTTAGAGGGATACAGCCCATTCGTCAAAACCAGGATTAACCCCACAGCAAGTCTCTAGTTTCTTTCCCCTCTTACTTAATAGAAGGCGGCATTCTCTGGCCACTAGTCCCACTGGAGCTGGGGGAGATAGGAGAGCAGGGAAATCTCGAGCGAAGATGTTTAAGCAAGGCTATATTATTGAATCAGCAGGAAACCTCTCGTAGGGCTCCCGGGGTGTTCTGGGGCCAGCAGAGCGTGTGGTGGGAGACTTCCAGGGAGGATCCCCCAGGTATTTATTTTTGACCAAGGCCATTTGATGCAATCTAGTGCGGTCCCAACACAACACGCTCTTCAGACGTGTCTTTGAGGAACCAGAGCGACAGGTCCCCTTTGCAGGGCTAGTTTAGTCGTGCCCAGAGGGATGGTACTCTGGAGGCGCAAGGAAGCCCTCCCTCCCCCCCCCCCCCGGCCAACTCAGAAGGTGTAAACACGGGCTGTGGGGAGATAACAAGGACTTGGATCCCGTCATGTTTTCCAAACTTTCCCTAGCCTCAGTGTAAGGGAGACGCTAAATGGGCAGAATAACTGTGGCCCGATCAGCCCCCAGCTCAAGGGGAAGTTCTCAGGGCTAGGTGGAAACATTGAGCTTATACGGGTGCAAGTCATAACGCCAGGGTCTGCGACGCAACTGCTTACCTCTCCTGGAGATCTGAAAGAGAAGGCGGGGCTGGGAGGCTCTGATCGCCGCGGATAAGCTGGTCTCCCTGCCCAGGAATGCCGCCTTCCTCTCGGGCATCAGCCGGATTCTCAGCCTTCCTTCTCCGGAGCGGATCCACCAGCTGAACAGCTCCGTGAGGTTAAACTCCAGCTCGCCCGCAGCTGGCTCTGCTTCTTCGCCCGCTGCCTGGGCCGGGTCCCAGGCGCAGCCATCCCGCAGGCTCCCTTCTCCCACCTCCAGCACCAACTGCTTGGCTCGGCGGAGCTTCCGCACCGAGCCCCCTTTCAGCACCTTGGACAGGGCTCGAGCCCGGGCTGGCTGCTGCGGGGATCCGGCCCCGGGAAGCCAGGAGTTCGCCGCCCGAAGCAGGGGCGAGCACTCCAGCACCAGGCTGCAGCGCGCCCGGAGCCAGCCCACTGCTTCCCCTCCGCCCAGCAGCAGGTCCCGCAGGTAGGTCCGGAACAGGGAAGGGACGATGAAATCTACCGCCAGGCTCTTCCTCTGGAGCCGGGAGAAGCTGGGGGGTTCTCGCTGCAACGGCTGCCCAGGCCGGGAGCCGGCGAGAGGGGTCCTCTCTTCCAAGCTCAGGGCTGGGGGGAAGGAGAGGAGGACGGTGGCCACAAAGAAGGGGGAAAGGCTGGCAGCTTTCATGTTAGCATGTGATGGGGGAGAAGTCACTGGGTTCTAGGGGATCCCCCCGACTCAGTCACCAGCTGGATTCACGGGGGTTCCCGGGTGATCCTCCGACTTTCTCACTTGCAAGAGCTCAGGGGAGCCACTGGATCCCTCTACTCCGTCACCAGCAGGAGCTGCAGGGAGCCAGGGGAATCCCTGGATCGCCTCCCCTTCCAGGAGGTGCTGGGACTGCTCCCTCCCGCTCGGGCACCCCCGGGACCCACTGGATTCCTAGCAATGCCTCCTAGTGGATCACCAGCCAGATCCAGGCGAGCCGCTGTCCTCTCTCACTGGAGCCCGCCGCTGGCCGGATGCGTGTGTCCGAGCCCGATGTGCAGTCGCGAAGGGACGGGTGTCTCTTCTCACACTCCTCCGCACATCTGCACTACACGGCCATTCACAAGGGCGGCTGGGCGACAGGCGTGTGGGCTGGCCCGCTCCCCACCCCCTCAGCAGCGCACACCTTCCCCAGAGGGCAGCCCCAGCTCGGCTGCTCCCCTGGAAGGCAGGGCTGTGTCTGGGGCCGGAGCTGTTCCTATCCCCGGCTAGTTGCAGGGAGTCTCTCGCGCGCCTCGGCTGCTCGCTGCGACACTTCTTCTTGCCCGACCCTTTGCAGGAGCAAACCCCAGGCTGAACTTCAGGAGCTGCCCAGCTCCTGTTCCCCGTTCCCCTCCCCTGTCACTGGCCGGAGACACCCTGCTCCAGCCCGGCGGAGCTGTCCCTGGCCTTGGACGGCTCCTGGTGGCTTTCTGGAGTGGCTGGCTGCTGGGGGGGAGACGGGACCGCAGTTTGCGGGGGTCCCTCTCAGGCTCAGCCCGGCTCTCCAGTGCCTCCCCTCAGCTCCCTTGGCCAGCTCCTGCTGGTTTTCTGGAGTAGCTGTAGCGGCTGGTGGGGCGGACGAGCTCAGCTACTGGGTCCCTCGGCCGGGTCCCTCGGCCAGCTCCCTACGTCTCACTCCTCTGGGCACCTTGAACCATCCCATTGGTGGAGCCGCTGCGAGCGCCCGTGGAGGGAGGGGGCGGGAGGCTGGGTGAGGGGCTCAGCAGCTTCAGGCCCCTCCGGCAAGCTGCAGCCGCCCGGCGGTCTAGCGTGGCAGCCGCCGCCGCCGCCGCCACTCCTGGCAGTCCCTGGTTCACAGCTGCCTGGCCCGCTCGCGGCTGCTGCGAGGCTTTTTTACAGGCTCCAACTACCCGCCACAAGCCAGGTATTACCCTGCCACCGCTGACGTCACGCCGGAGTCCTGCTCCCACCAGCCAATGGCGTGTCCAGGGGACATTATTATTCAAATGATCTGAGAGAGGGAGGAGGCTCAGGAGGGCGGGGGAGCGCCTTCATTGAGAAAAGCACTACGACCCCCGCTCCGTGTGACTGCTGGCGGGCTGTTGGAGGCAAACGAGGGCCTTTGGCGGGGAATTGGCAATAATGCACTTTCCCTGCCTATGCATCAAAAGATTGAGCGGATCAAGTACAAGCACAGCAAGTTCACGACTCGAAAGGATGAGATCGGCGAGAAGAGGCGTTTAGTTCACCACCTCTGTGATCCGCACCGTTGCATTTCATCTGCGGAAATGACTTTTAATGACAAGAAATTGTACTGGGGTGGGAGGTGAACAGATTCCTCTAGTGCAGTGGTTCCCAAACTTTAACAAGCTGTGAACCCCTTCCGCTAAAATGTCAAGTCTGGCAAACCCTCTCCTAAAAATGAATATTTCCAGGGATTTTCTTCTTCACCTGAGTATAAATTATAAAAGCAGTAATCTTGGAAATATAAAATTTGTTTTTTATGACATGCTTATTACACACTAGGACAGCTCTGTCCACCATTAGGGAATTTTTTCCCTAGAACCCCCTGTAACATTTCATGAACCCCAGTTTGGGAACCACTGCTCTAGTGAAGAAAGCAGTGCCATGTGGTCTACTGGAGAGAGTATGGGACTGGGGGTGGGAGGAGATCTGGGCTCTCTTCTCACTACTGCTACTGACTAATTTCCTGTGTGACTTTAGGCAAGTGTCAGGTTGAGATTTTAAGGCAGGTGTTTTCAAAGGAGCCTAACCTCTGTGTCCCCATTTCCACACCTGTCAATAGAGTGCAAGCTCTTACTTTTCAGTCTTTAAAACATCTGTAAATGTAGCATTCATGCCTCCATAGCAGAGGGGCCCCCTGTAAGACCCTCTATGCATCATGTGATGAGTAATAGCCTCTTCAATGGGCTGAATTTCACAGTGATAGTTATTTAGATTTATAAACAAGAGGGATTATTTGTAATGCACTTTGAGATCCTGGAAAGATTTAAATGTTGAAAAGAGGCTACTGGTCTTGTTTTGTAGGTTGACTCCTACATTGAAAGTAAGAGTTAAAAAAAGTTACTCACATCCACCCTAATTGAATTGGCCTCATTAGCACTAACCCCTCCCCCCCCCCCTTGGTAAGGCAACTCCCATCTTTTCATGTGCTGTATATTTATACCTGCCTACTGAATTTTCACTCCATGCATCTGATGAAGTGGGTTTTAGCCCACACCCAAATAAACTTGTTAGTCTCTAAGGTGCCACAAGGACTCCTCATTGTTTTTTTATTAAATGTGTTTTTCAAAACTAGAAAAGTCAGAATTTGACATTGTTTGGCTTCTTTTCTTTTCAGTTATTCCCCCACACACTTCATCTCCTATTTGTCCCCTTCCTCTCCTATTCCCCCCTCCCCCACCATGTTATTAAATGCAATAGAATGAATGATGTCCAGGGCTGTTTGAAAGAAAAGTGAAATATCCCTCCCCCACCTTCCATTCTCCTTTTTCCTACTCTAACTCCTCAAAAGTTGAAGACATTTCCCATTGCATTCAGAAGGAAACACTGAAAAAAATTGGGGGGGGATCAGTTTGGAATTAAAATAATTTCAAAGATTTATGAAGCTATTTTCCTTTTTTTGGCCAGCTCTAAGTGTTATACTGTAAATAGCGTAATTATGTTTTTTGATAACCAAGTATTACTCATTTTACTGGAAGTTGTCTGCATGAATTACTTATTGCCCTGTGTTTCATACTTAATGCATGTAATTTTATAATCCAGGTATTACATAGTAGTTACAGTGTAATTATTCTGTCACATAGTTAGTTCTTTTGGCAATTTAAAAAAAAAGTTTCAGAGGAACAGCCATGTTAGTCTGTATTCACAAAAAGAAAAGGAGTACTTGTGGCACCTTAGAGACTAACCAATTTATTTGAGCATGAGCTTTCGTGAGCTACAGCTCACTTCATCAGATGTTTACCGTGGAAACATCTGATGAAGTGAGCTGTAGCTCACGAAAGCTCATGCTCAAATAAATTGGTTAGTCTCTAAGGTGCCACAAGTACTCCTTTTTTTTTTTAAAAAAAAGTGTTAGTTACAGGTATTGCAAAGCATAATCACAGATTAACCATGATATAATTGTAGCGCAAATAGAGGCTGTAATTTACAGCCACAGTATTATAAAAATATAATAAGCATCTTTTCTACACATGAGCTGAAGAACTAGGATCAGTCAGCATAGTAACACTCAGTTATATAATATTTTTAATACAAAAAGCATACTGGTGCCATATTCCAGTCTTAAGCCTTTAAACTCCCTTAACCAAAGCCTATTAAAGACAATGGCAGTCTTTCCATTGACCTCAGTGGGCCCTACAATCCCCACAGCTTGTAACTTTCACTGTTTTAGGTTTCATTAGACTCACCCAACATGTGACTTACGATTGCTTACCCATCACTTCTGAATTTGGCTTGTAGTATTTTAGGGCCTGATGATGCATCCATTAGAGTAATTAGCAAAGCTCATATCAGGCTTTTGCCATAAAAAGATTTTTTTTAAAAATGTGTACCTTAATACATTCAAAAAGATGCAAGCACATAAAACTATTCTGGTTGGGTTTCCCCTCCCCCGCCCCCCATTCAGCATCCTCTTATAAAGTAGCTGCTAGAATCACTTTAATGTCTGCATTAGTGAGACTTGAAAAATCGATCCTCAAACTTGTCCCATTCCACCAAATTATTTTAGTCACCTGTCATCTTAGTCACACCGAGTGCTATACACTAGCAAGTTTCTTACAAAAATGGCAATTGGAGAAAATGAAATACAATGCAGTGGAAGAAAATGTTCTAAAAGTCTCGTTGACTAGTTTATTATAGGCTGTTTGCCTGCTTGCGTGAATCAGATTTCCATCAAATAAAGATTCCACTAGGGGACTTTTATAGCTTTCATTCCGCATGTGACAGATATGGAAATTTCCTGTCATGTCCTGCACAAGCCTTATTGAATTAAGTTAATCTTAAGAGTTGATTATATTAAAAAATGCAAATATTTATGCATTATTGGGGGATTGCATCTAGCATCTCTAAGGGGGTTACATGGCCCATGTAAACCATGGGAAGCGGTATGAGCTCAAAAGGAATATTTGAAACAATGGGCCAGATAAGAATGAACTTATATACTTAAATAGGTTCCCAGGAAATATCTGGGGGGATGAATATGCAAATGTACCCCATCCAATTATGCAAGAGCTCTGCCTTTTGAAGCATCATCCTGAGGAGGGGACCTTTGTCTGCTGATTGCCTGTTAGGAGAGGACAAGATCAAAGGCCCAAATCATATAAAGGAGGGACTCTAAGGTTCATGAGGGTTCTTGTTCTGAAAAAGATGTAACGAATTTATAACCACAAACGAAAATCCTGCGTAGGGTCTGAAGGACTGACTCCTACCAGATCCCTTGTTGCAGTTGGGGGTGATAGCTTGTAAGCTTATTAGCACACATGTAGTTTCTTTTATTGTTTTAATGTTTTCTCTGCAATACTTATGTGTTCAGAATTGTGCAGCCTGGAAAAATCCCAGTCAGGAGGGAGAGAGATTCGCTTCTCTGCCCAAGAAAAATGACAGCTGAGAGACTGGGAGCCTAGAAGTGGGTACCCTCACTGGATGATGGAACGAGAATACAGGTGCAGTTGCCCTGAACTATGACACCTCAGGTTTCAGAGTAGCAGCCGTCTTAGTCTGTATCCAGAAAAAGAAAAGGAGGATTTGTGGCACCTTAGAGACTAAAATTTATTTGAGCATAAGCTTTCGTGAGCTACAGTGAATGCATCCAATGAAGTGAGCTGTAGCTCACGAAAGCTTATGCTCCAATAAATTTGTTAGTCTCTAAGGTGCCACAAGTACTCCTTTTCTTTTTATGACCCCTCAGTGTTTCCAGTTGTTGATCATCAAGCACAGGACTTGATCCTATGCTCATTGAAGTCAATGGCAAAGTTCCCATTGGTTATAATAGTTCAGGATCTGGGCCGTAATGCAGATTTTCAACACAGCCAATAAGTATTTACAGAAAAAAATGGATTAATTCGATTATTCTAACTTCCCATTAAGCAAGATCATGTCTCCCAAAGTCTATTGTTTACTCTGTTACATAGAGACCATTCATCACTACTCACCGCCTTGTGGTCAGGTGTGGTGTCGGCAGGGGCGGCTCTACCAATTTTGCCACCCCAAGCTATTGCCACCGAATTGCTGCAGCA